TCTGTATAAATGGATACAAAAATAACTTGATTTAGATAAAAGCATCAGCCATGTAAATTAATAATAGTTCTCTGTCTAGACACCGTGATTTTTGTGTACAAACTGGAAGGAGTATCAGAATATAGTTAAAATGAGAGGAGGCTATTTAGTTTATCTAGCGATCTGTTTCGTATAACATGTGTGTCATTTTGTCATATACTGTAACGTGAGAAATGTTCAGGAATTTTACTCAGGAAATGTTAATTTTGTATACTTATCAATGCTCATTTTTTTGAGGGGGTGCCAATTTTGCCTCCAGAGGGAAACGTTGAATAAAAATCTTGGAATGGTTCAAAATATAGACACTGCAGTTTATATTTCTGTATACATTTTGCTTAGAAAGAGGCCTCAGCACTCTCTATCAGCAGTGAAGGCAACCTTAGCGCCTACAGCTCATTCAATTACTGTGACTCGGGGGTTTCAAAGTCATTTCCTGGTGGGCCTTATGCCTTCTGGTATTGTATTTCAACTTGAGGAGTCAATTGAACAATTCAGCTATTTTCTAAATTGACATCACAGGATTTCTCTTATTTTTCCCTTTAAGCTAATTACACAAGACATTCACTTCATTAAAGATACAGTTACCTATACATCACCCCAGAGCCTGGTTAGAATTATTACAGTTACGCAGCCCATTAAATAATTATGCCGACTATGTAACCAAAAACGTGGATGAAAGTAATATCAGAAAACACTAGGCCCTACAGGAATTATGCTTAGGATCCCTGAGTTACACCATCATTCCTAAGTCAAATATATTACTATTGTGTGCTACTTTATTAATTACTAGCAAATAAGCAGTTAAAGGATGAATGAACTTGGCTCAATACCAGCAGATTCTTAACTTTTATTTCGGGCTGTGCACAAAGGTTTGAGGGATCCATCCATCTATTTTGTATCTGTTTCTTCCAACTCAAGGTCACAGGAAAGCCAGAGCCTAACCTGTCAAGCAAAGAGTGCAAGACGGAGAGCAATACAATCTGGACAGGACACTGTCCATCGCAGGACATCACACAGACAGACAAACACGCACACACTCACACCTGAGGCCAATTTTCCCAGAAACCAATTAACCTACCAGTATGTCTTTGGACTGTGGGAAGAAATTGGAGAAACCAGGAGGAAACCCACATGAGCACAGGGAGAACTTATAAACTCCACCCAGACAGCACCCCAGGTCTGGAATTGAACTCAGGGTCCCTGTCCTCTGAGGAAGCAATGCAAACCATTGTGCTGCCCAACTGATGGTTTCCTACCTAGTAATTCAGTCACAACCACACTTTGAATGGCTTGTTAGGCATTCACACTGGAATTCATGGAGGTAGCCATTGCTTATGAACAAATTGGTGATGCTTTATGTAATGCTTTTACTTTAGCTAAACACCACACAAAATGATAAAACAACATGCATACAAAAAGCAAAAAGAAATTTCACATGAGCATACCCGGACTACTGTTGCAGAGGAACATGACTGAAGGTCTTAAGTCATTAATGGTGACTTCCATCATTTTCACCCGACATCTACCTGGAGGTCTGCACATAGCTTTCTTCTAAACGTATGTCTTGTTATGAACTGTTACAAAGAATTGCATGTCTGCAATGTCATTTGCAGTACCAGTAAAAAGTTTGAGTACACCTCCTTGAAACCAGTTTTTCAGGATTATCTTCCTACCAGGAAGAATTGCTGCAAAGAAACCATTGTTAAGACTTGCCTGGGCCAAAAAACACGGAAACTGGACCGCTGAGACCAGCTTCACGCAACTTCCTCCGAACAGATGGTGTTGAAACGTCTGTACTTCTAGTTGCGCTAGGCTCATCTTGTCTTTCAGGGGCACTTAGTCGCTGGTTTCACAGACATGTGACTCTAATGAACTCATTCTCTGATTCTGACCTGCCTGACCCTTTTCAGTCCTCACGAGTGCCAGTTTCTTCATGTCGTTTGATAGTCTTGGCCACAGCAGTTACTGATGCTTGCAAAGTTCTTGCAATTTGTCTTAAAGATTGACCTTTATTTCTTAAAAGAATAATAGACTGAAATCTGCCTGCTTTGGGTGACCATTTTATTGAAAATGGAAAAATAACATTTTCAATACAGTTCGCTTAAGATTATAAGTACACAGATCATTTAATTAAATATTAAGTGTTTATAGACATGTTTATATAGCTGAAAAGAGACCCAACATTCTCTTTCTTTTCATCTTGGAATAAACCTTTACTTGTTCCAATTGGTAAAACATATCTTTACCGGTGCAACAGATTGCTTTGTTCATTCTCACTGCTAGTCTAAACTGTTTCACAATTAGCTACTATTTACGAAGCTCACATAATGGTGAATACTGATCATATTGTAAGCTTACCCCAAGGTTTCCTAAGTCCCCTAATGGGAACCCACACACCATCTGGTTTTTGTTCCACCTGAACACTGAATTAATTAAACCCTTGAAGAGGAACTGCAATGCTATTTTTATATTTTGTGGTTGAAAAAACAATTCGCATTTCAAAACACAATGAAAGTAAAATGTATACAGTAGTGTGTAAAACCTCCAATTTACATAAAAAATACAACATTTCCAGGTACACACAGCACCACACAGTATTCTGCAATTCAGAACGAGGCATCCAAACTTCCAGTGAGGTGAAGGAACCATGTTGCATTGTAAACAAGCAAGCTTGTGAACACGTCTCTTTTAATCCAATAGAAATATTACTCTTGACTTTGAGTTTTGTCGACAAATACTACTTACTTGTTAACTCTGGTGCAGATCATGTTGGGACATTCCTGCAGCGAAATGTCTGCTGCATAACCTGTACTTCTTCATACAAGAACACCGCATTACATAAGCAAGGTGACTAGAGAGCGGGAAGGGCAGCATCACATCACAATTTGAGCAAAGTACTTTCATAAAGTTCACAATTTTGCAATAAATGTATTACGTTTTTTTATTTAAATGTATTTACGTATTTAATAACCAAGTCTGATGAAATGGGACTGCAGTTCACCTTTAATACATATAAAATGTTTAATTTGAACCTGTTCTTAGTTTGTAGACACTACTTGGGTGCCCTTAAGCTATCGCATTCCTAAAGTAACTTAAAATACTTGTTTTAAAAATCCAGACTTTCTGTAGGTAAGAATTCCATTTTACCAGTACATGTACCGGTTAAATATGGCAATAAAGTTCAAGTTCAAATATCTAACCTTTGGTAAGAACAAAAAAAAACTTGCAAAGGTTCTAACCAAACAATTTACAGGTTCAGTTAAGGATTAATTTGAGTCAAGACCCCAGATGGAATGTAAACCAATAGGTGTGTGGTTCCTCAGGACCAGGGAACCTCTGGGATAGCTGGCTATTTTACCAAACCCCTGCCTCGGAAGGCTTCAGGCTTCTAGCATCTGGCTTTCAGCCAAAGTTTGAACACATAGTATTTTAAAATTGTGAACTTTTATTCCTCTGGAGTAGTAAAACTTACTTTCATTTTTGTTCTGGGCACACAGGGGCAAGGCAGCTCTTTGTTTCTGGGTACATGTTGAGTTTGTGGAATCTTCTTATGAGCTTCCCCACAAAGCATAGCATGCTGGTCAGGTTAACTCTTGAAACTTAATCGTCTGTGCATGGCGATGGCCTGCCCTGCTGTCTGCGTCTAATCCCACATGTCCTATAAGTCTGGGATGCTGTAAACTTCAGCTGCAATAATCAACTTCCTAATGATAAATAAAAGATTTTCATTCCCTCATTATAGCAAAATTGACTACTCAGTCTGAATAAGAGGTTAACATTTTGTTTTTTTTACGTTTTCACCAACGTTTCACAGTCATTTCTTGGATAAACAATATCTTGTATTGTTTTGAGACGTTACACTGTTACAGAGTGTGGTTTTGCTGATTATATTCACCCTTAGGTAACTACAATAAAATACATTGCTGTTTCCAGATGCAATATGCTGCGCCTCAGCTCAGTGAGCTTCTCAGACAGCTAAGGGCCTGTGTTGCTCTCTGTTAAGCAAGTAAATAGCATCAGGGTGCTGTTGAGATGTTTAAGCATTAATGCAAAACAAAAAGTGTTTTTAGTACATTTTATATAATGTGTATTAAAAAGGAAACAGTACAAAGCTTTGTTTAGGCAAAGTTAGTAGCAGCTATTTGGTAACAAAAATGTAGCAATTATATAATCAATGAGTATGGTACATGTACAAAAGTTGAAAGCATTTTTAACTTCAGAAAAGTATGTGCCATCACTCCTAACATTTCATTATGTTGTCAATGTACTAAACCTTTTAATAATTTAAATAAGGAAGTAAATTATATTAATTTTATAGTAAATATGCTTAAATGAATGCACCGGGAAAGGTTCTGAACTCCTTTTAGCAATGCGTTAAACGTAAAAATGCATTCTATTTCACACATTTTCTTAATTCAGTCATCAAATGAAAATATTTTTTCACAAAATATTTGTAAGATCATAAAAAATTAAATACTAAAAAGATTCTTGAAGAAGCCTGCAGACTACAATAAAACTTGATCAATTTATCAGTGCAGATAGTTCCTTAACATTCAAATGTGAAGATTAAAAGCACCATCTCTCAAGATCCACAAAACTCAAAACCAATGCAGAAGACTTAATTTCTTGCAGTCTTAATTTCAAGAAAAGCACCACTTTTCTTTTTTTCACATTCACTGTGCAACTTTTCATCACTGTATATCAGACTAAACAACCTATTTATGCTTTAATGCAATGTAATTTCCATCTAACATAACTACCTCATAAAAGCAAACACATGAGAGCACGGTATTTTGACTAGGTTTAAATTGTGATGCATTTTATGGAAAAGTCTTTTCTGCATACCATCCAACATAATTCTATGATGCTTTAAAACACTGACAACATTAGGTGAAGAAAAATCATAAGGTACTACAAAGGGAATACATATTTACCATCTTAACAAAAAAGAAGACTCAGTATCTCTTTGTATCCAGTTTATTTACAAAGTAAGTTTTTCCATTCTTTATTCTGCAGGATAAATATTTCCACAGATAATGCAGACCTGTTTAAAGAAAAAAAACAACAAGAAATGTAAATATCACCTAAGCATTTCTGAGAAACATAAGATCATTTAAAGACTACCTTATACGTCTACAAAATCATTCAGTTTATTAATGAATTCATCAGCTAAAGTAATAAACATATGTTTTTTATGGGCTGATCATTGCTAAGTTCTTATTAATGTGGTACCATTTCTCTTGGGGATTTCTGTCCCAAAAGGGAATCTGCTGATCAGCCCAAGATACAGCACACATATGACTAAATAACCAGGAAATCACACCTTTCCATTCTGAACAATTACCTTGTATTCAATGAAACAGTAGAACTTCATTTCTTCAACAGCTGGTGCCTGACAACAATGAAAGGGAAGGTGAACCCACTGCCAAAGAAGACAACCATCATCCCCAACAGCCTCCATTTGTTCTCAATAGAGAAAGGAAGGTTCTGTGATGAAGAGAGACGCAGTGGGTTATGCACTTCAGAAACACTACGTAGTGCCGATACTCTCTACTAACCATCTCACATCAACATATATTTGTATTACATCATGCAATGTATAAAAAAATGTAAAAAGATGTATTAAAACCTGTCTTGACCAGTAATAAAATTATATTTATATATATTTTATGTTTCTTATAAGTACAGTCACACTTATTTAAACCAAAAGTGTGACTGTGCCTCTAGCACAACTGAGCTTCTATTTTTTTTAAAAAAACATGCTAATCTTGCAACTTTCCTACAAAACCAAAGCAGCTCTTCAAATGTAATAGCATCTAGAAAACCAAAGGGAAGAATCTACAAAGCTTTTTAATTTGGGGGTGAAAAGACAAAATGAGTCAATTCTTTCTTACATTCTTAAGTTACCAAGCTATGTGATTCATATTGATATTGTTTTCCCTTAAAAGAAAACAAAAATATCTCTAAAATAGTTGGATCTCCTTAAGATAGTACTTTCCCCCATCTCACCTGGTACTAATTTATCATTAATCCATCCCTTACTGTTCTGCAAGACCCTTTTCACTAATTCTTTTTAAACATACTTATGTAAACAAATACTGAAAAAAATAGCTTAATAACTTTTTCTGACAGGCAGGCAGTGTTGATCTTCAAATAAAATTAATGCACGCAGATACGTACTGTAATATTACTATAATTTGGAACAGTACAAATACATTATTACAAGCTGACGACACCGTGCAGAAATCCTTTCGTTTTGGTTTCGCCTTAATTTTGTAAGGGAAAGGGGTACTTAATAATTGAAATACAGTATGAGATTAATTTGTATTTCAACTCACTAACCAGCTACATTCAGCAGTTTACACCCTGCTCACGACAGCGCAAAAGATAAAACTTAAAAAAACAAATACAAGATATATGTGGAGCGAAACTATTAAGAACAGTTGTTATAATACTGAACTATATCTATTATCACAGTGACCTCAACAGCAGGGCCTTAACTCAAGCATCAAGCCTGTACTCCGCAGACAGTCAGAGACACTTCCTCTATACCCAACATATTTATATCTTCCTTCTTCAACAGTACCTTTCCTGGTCCATCTTCATAATGAGACCTGCGAATGGCGGAGGTAGTGAACCTGCGAACAGCCTGACCAAACATGACTGCGGTCGTCTTTCTTGAATTCAAACTCGACTGCTTCTCTTCTCGCCCGGCACGACCTTCTAAGACAGACAGAAACGGAAAGCAGAATCATGGGATAGGTCAATGATTTTGCTTCCGGGTGGTCGGAGGAAGGGGGGGGAGAGATAGCGTAGCCAAGGTTTCTGGGAATTGTAGTTTTTAAAACCTATAATGCAGTTCCGCATTCTTTAAAAAATTAAGTCGGCATAAAAAGAAAGTACATAAACACTGTATATACTAAGGCACTGCAATATTTCTACCCCATGCCTGATGCACGTTGGTTGCTATTTTATTCAGCATTTAAAAACATTGTATTTCAAAAAACGACAATAAGGTTATATCGTTATAAAAGGTTATGACGCTAATAAATCTAACACAAATTATGAGGTAAAATCAGGTATGTTCTAAGGAAAAACAACATTGTGATTCTGGATTATTTACACTGTTATAAAAGAGAAGGTTTTGACTGTTACAGTTCAAAATTTAATTACGGAGTGCTGAAAATATTAATTCCTTTCCAATGATGTCCCATTTTGCTGAAATACTAGTGAGAATCTATACACACTTTTATATGTTGTTCTATATTTTTATCAAAACTTGAATTGAAAAATTGAAACTGTAAAAAAAAATATATGTAGTTTACATATGTATTCACCCCTTTTTCTATGGTAATGCTAAATTATTTTTGGTACACGAATTCACTATGACAAGTCACAGAATTAGTTGAACAGTCTTTGTTGGTGTGCAATAATTAGTTCACATGATTTCAGAATACATTCACCTGTCTCTGTAAACTGAAATTCTTTATCTGACTGATTCTCACAGTGAGATAATGAATTTCACGTAAAGTTTCAACCATGAAGACCAAGGAGCTTTCAAAACAACATAGGGATAAAGTGGTATAAAAAGCACAGATCCACTGAAGGTTATAAAAAATTCAAAGACATCAAGTATCCCTTTGAGCCTACAGTCAATCATTAAGAAGTGAAAGGAATACCTTACCAGATATTGCCTAGATCAGAATTTCCCAGCCAGGCCAGGGGAAAGCTAGTTAGGAATGTTTTTGTGAAGCCAAGAGAGACTTTTGAAAGAGTCACCGAGCTCAATGGGTCAGATGGGAGAAAATATCAATGAATCCACAATATCTCCATCATCCCTGAAGGCTGAACTGTGTAGCAGAAACAACAACTTCCATGCAACTACTTGTTATGGCAATCAAGTATTGAACATGAGAGCAGAAAACCCATCTGAAATGCTGCATGGAGTCAGCAACAAAGCATTAAAATGAAACTGCAAACACCTGGCAAAATTTTTTTGAGGTCACACGGGACAAAATTGTTGCTTTTCTGGTCTAAATGCAAATAAATGCATCTTGTTCAAATCCGAAATGGTGTATCATCTAGTCTACAACATCCCTACATCAAGTGTGGTGGTGGAGAATTATGTTAGGGGGCTGCTTCTCATCAGCAGGGTCAGCAAAGCTTGTAAAATTTGAGAGGAAAATTAACGGAGCAAATTACAGGCCATTCTTAGAAGAAATGTCACCTTTCAGCAGGACAATCATCTTAAGGACAAGCTCAGAGCTACACTGTAGTGCCCATTCACTTAAAAAATGTATTTTATAATTAAAAAAATCAATGAAAGGGAACATCATAGCAAAGGGGGAATACTTCTGCAAGGCACTGCAATTAGAGCTGTTTATCGCTTTTCTAAAACCAAGGGGCAGAACTGGCTGCAGTTTAATTAAGATATTTACAGCATCAATTAAGTTGATAAAAAAATGAAATTTTGAAATGTGAAATTTGAAATTCTCGTGAGACAGAACTGAATATATGGAAGGAAATGTCACATGTGTGTCATTTCTGGACCAAGAGTAAGTCTATCCCAAGACGAACTCGGTCAAATCAAAAGTAGGATCAAAAAGTTATCAAATGTATTAAAATTAGAACAGGTTTTCTCAAGCGTTTCGAAGGTTTCTCACTCATACAATTTGGACAGACAAGACAAGACAGACTATAAAACTACTCAGTTGAAGCTCCAGCTAGGGTTAGGGTTAGCATTCACACACTACTTAGACAATTTATAAGCTCAGTGCTGGATTTTGGGGCCAAGGACAGCTTTAGGAACAGTGATTTTTTGCTCCTATCTGAATTTATTTTAGGAAACTTAGGGTTGCCTGGATGGCGCTGTACACCATACGGTAAGTCTATTCGAAAACGAACTCAGTCGGATCAAAAGTAGGATCAAAACGTCATCGAATCTAATAACTGTAGAACAGGATTTCTCAAGGGATTTGAATGTTTCTCACTCATACAGCTTTGTTTGGGAAACATGTCAAAATCTGATGACTGAAGGGCTTCACAGACAGATTGGGAAACTGCTCAGTTGAAGCCCCAGGTAGGGTTATGGTTAGCAGTCACATACTACTAAGACATTTTGTAAGCTCAGCGCTGGAGTTTGGTGTCCAAGTCAGGTTTAGGATGGTTGGTTTTGTAGTCATGTCTGAAAATTTTATTTTCAGAAACGTTCTGGGGCCTGAAAGTCAGTGGGATCAATGTAATTTAATTGCAAGAGCTCTGATCAAGGGTCTTGATTGTTTCCCACTCATACTGTGCCTTTAGGTTTTGGGAATATGTCAAAATCCGATTCCCATTGAGGCTGAGATATAGATCGCGCAAATGCTCATTTGACACCCCAGTTAGGGTTAGGTTAAGCATTCACACTCTACTTAGACAATTTTTAAGCTCAGCGCTGGATTTTGGGTCCCAAGTCAGGACTAGAACAAATGTTTTTTACCTCTTATCTGAACATTTTTTTAGAAACTCCCAGGGGCCTGGATGTTGCAGTGCACCACGAAGCAATTGTATCCCAAAACAGAGTCAGTTGGGACAAAAGTTGTTACCTAGCATTACTGGATTTCATTCAAATGCAAATGCTTCTATCTGTGGTCTTGATTGTTTCCCACTCATTCTTTTTGGTTTGGGGAACATGTCAAAATCCTTTGTCGAGAGAAGTTCAGATATAGTTAGTGGAAATGCTCAGTTGACACCCCAGGTAGGGTTAGGGTTAGGATTCACACACTACTTACACATATTTTAAGCTCAGGAATGGATTTTGGGTCCCAAGTCAGGTTTAGGACGAGTGTTTTTTACCTCTTATCTGAATTTCTTTTTTTCAGAAACTCCTATGGGCCTAGATGTCGTGGTGCACCGTGCAGCAATTGTATCCCAAAACTTAGTTGGCTGGATCAAAAGTTGTTACCAAGCATTAATAAATGTCATTCAAATGCAAGTGCTTCTATCAGTGGTCTTATTTTTTCTCATTCTTTCTTTTTTGTTTGGGGAACATGTCAAAATCCTATATCCCAGAGAAGTTCAGATATAGACAGTGGAAATACTCAGTTGACACCCCAGGTAGGGTTAGGGTTAGCAATCACACACTACTTCGACAATTTTTAAGCTCAAGGCTGTATTTTTGGTCCCAAATCAGGTTAAGGACGAGTGGTTTTTACCTCCTATCTGAAAATGTTTCTTTTCAGAAACTCCCAGAGGCCTGGATGTTGCGGTGCACTGCTCAGCAATTGTATCCTAAAATTGAGTCGGTTGGATCAGTTGTTGCCAAGCATTATTGAATGTCAATCAAATGCAAGTGCTTCTATCAGTGGTCTTATATCACGCACGGTTATTATATCTCGAAAGTGAGACATTGGGATCAAATTTGTAACATAGCATTATTGAATCTAATTTAATTGCAAGAGCTTTGATCAACAGTCTTTTGCCTCTCATTCCTTTAGGTTTGGGGAATATGTCAAAATCTGATGCCCTGAGAGGCTTAGATATAAATCGCGGAAATGCTCTGGTACCCTAGGTAGGGTTTTGGGGCCCGAGACAGCTTTAGGAGATTTTTTGCCACTATCTAAAAACATTTTTTTTGAAACTCTTGGCCACCGGATGGAGCTGTGCTCCGTACGGTAAGTCTATCCCAAAACGAACTCAGTTGGATTAAATGTAGGATCAAAACGTTATCTAAGCTAATAGGTGTAGAACAGAGTTTCTCAAGGTTTTTGAATGTTTGTCAGTCATACAGTTTGGTTGGGCAACATGTCAAAATCCGGTAAGTGAATGGCTTCATTGACAGATTGCGAAACTTCTCAGTTGAAGCCCCAGGCAGGATTGGGGTTAGCATTCACACACTACTTAGACAATTTTTACACTCAGCGCTGGATTTTTGGACTGCTTTAGGATGAGAGTTTTTTTGCTCCTATCTGAAAATTCTTTGTTCAGAAACTCTTGGCTGCCTGTGTAGCACGGTGCACCATACGGTACAGTATGTCTTTGTTGGTGAACATGAACTAAGGCTAAAACCACATACCTTCCTGAACAAGAGTGTAAATCAGGTACATGTACACAATCATTTCTAATGTCCACATACCTTCAGCAAGGCAGCCGTCATAAGAATCTAAGAATTGTAAGGTTAGAAACAAGAACAGGCCATTCAGCTCATCACATCTGTTTAGATTAGGTAAAAGGATCTCCTCCAACTGTTCTAGAAACAGATAAATTGAATGTTTAGACTAAGAAATGTGTTTAAAATGCCATTTTATGAAATGTACAAACTTAATTACATTTTTATGTAGTACACCTGGAAATACACCGGGATGATAAGCTGGAGTGGACTGTTAACACTGACACCCTGTACAAGAAAGGTCAGAGTCAACTCTTTTTTCTTAGGAGGCTCAGGTCCTTTGGTGTGTGTGGAACACTGCTACACATTTTTTATTAATCAATGGGGGGAGCGGCCATCATCTACGCTGTTGTGTGCTGGGGCAGCAGCATCATGGCAAGAGATGTAAATAGACACAAACTCATCAAGAAGGCTGGCTCTGTGTTGGGGCTGAGCCCTGACCCCCTGGAGGTGGTGGCTGAGAGGAGAAGTTCACAGCCATCATGAACAACGCCTCTCACCCGCTACATTGGACTGGTATTATGCAGCGGAGCACTTTTAGTAACAGACTGTTCCAGCTACAGGCAGCTACACTGCCCTAGGCTAGGACTGTTAGCCCTTATTCTGCTTGTCT